AAAAAAAAAACTACTGCAGAGGGTCTTTAGGAACTTTATATCAGACCATTTGACAGCTCATCAATTTTTTATATCCTTTTAATATCTGTAGAAATGATTACTGGAAGATTCCTAAATCTTGAAGCCAAGATTCCCTCCCCATTCCATATCATTAATATATATATATATTGTGATTTGGATGAACATTTACATAGCAACTATTCACATACATTTTGTTTTGTGACATTGATCAAAATATCTGTTATGTAACAGCATTCTTTCCACTTTCTCCCTGGGTTTACTGTTTCTGTATCCTTTCCAATGTCTTCCTGCATTTTACGTTTATCCCAGTGCAAATGCTGCCCTTTTAATCTTGAATGGTTGATTATCTTTATAACAGTGCTTACCTCCCTGTTCAATTTATGGGCTTATTTACCTTTTGGCTAAAAGTTAAGTCATGGGAAGGAGTTCAGTTCCATGCCTGAAAGGTGTCCAAGAACCATAGTTTCTGGGATTCTACAGACTTAGTTGTTGTTAGTTTTTTGGGGTTTTTTTTATTTTTAATTTCACTCCACATTTTTCTCCCACTCTATCAAAGACCTCCTCTTGTGATCCCTTGCAGAGTGGTGGTAAAAATGTTCATTAATATACTAGAGAATACAAGGAGCAAAGTCATAAAAACATGTTGAAGAAATGAGTCACTTGTTATGGTGGCGAAGGAAAATTGTCTCAGGGCACATCAAGGTCAACAAGCATAACATGGTCCACAAAGTCAATGTTCTATATTACTTATCACAATGAGAGCGCACACGCTTCAGGCTTATTCTGCTATCCACACTTCTTCTCTTCCATGATGAATGTCCCTGGCATTTGAACATTCCATTTCAATATTTTACTGTTTGAAATGGGCCAGGCATTTTATATTTGTAATCATATTAGTAAACTAAGTAAACATTAAGTAAAATGTTAAGAATTTTTGTTCTTGCTTCCAAATTAAGGTCTCTTGTCTTACTCTCTAAAAAAATGAAGTGTAAGGTTAATCTAACTTGAATCGCACCAACCCTATCAAATTCCATCAAAAGCTCTCACTAGATAATAAAAAAATGTGAGGATCTAGGAAACAATCTGTATCAACTGTGTTAGAGTACTGTGTTACTTCTACCATAATTTCTTCCTTTCCATGTCTGATTTTGTCCTCTATTTTTAATTGGTAAAAAAATGTACAGCATTATTTTCCATACTTAATTTTTACTTTGGTTTATTAAATTTTTTAATATGTCAAACTTATGTAAGCACTGATTTAACTTCCAACAGGGAACAGAGAAAGAACTAAACAATTTTAAGTGTTCACATTTTATGAGGCAGACACCATGATAGAAATCATTATTAAATAAATTTTATACATTCCATACAGACATTTTTCATTTTTAGGAGTTTTGTTCCATTTTTATAGAAAAAATAAGACTAGAAGTACTTAATTAACTTGATGGAGATCTGAGTTGCAAACACCTAGGTTTTCTAATTCACTCTGTTATGTTGCATCTGAATGTCTCTAAATATTAAGAGGCATACTGGAGCATTGGGGAAAAATGAAAATGAAACTGAAAATATATCCCAGAGTCTGCCACTAGTTATCAGGAATTATTTCAATAAATGTTTCACAGTTGTTTAACCAAATACTTAGATGTTGTTATTGTTAACTGCCTTGGAGTCAATTCTGACCCATAGCGTCCCTAAATAGGGTTTTCAAGGAGCAGCAGGTGAGATTGAACTGCAGACCTTCTGGTTCAAACTGACTTCACAGTCAAGCACATTAACCCACAATAATGATACTTCTCAAGATAACTGAATTTCCTTAACTGGATCATTATTATTATAGATTTATATAAATTTAATCTTTATGCTTTGTCAAGAAGCTCATTTGACTAACTCAATTAGAAACATAAGGTGCTGTCAGCATTTCCATCCTATATTTCTTGTGTCCTTATTAAAAAGGGGAAAACTCACCACAGCTATTTTTGGTGTGGATTCCAGGAAAAGCTGATCTCCAATTTCCCAACTCTCTTACCTGCACTGACACAGATCTTTTTAAACCTACTTATTCCCTTGAGAATCCAGGGCTATTGTTTTGTTTTTTCCTTTTTTTCATCTTTCTTAATGGAAGCCAGAATTGATAGATAAGGATATTTCATTCCTCTACCTATCTGTGACATAGAAAGAATGCGATTAAAATCAACACTCCAATTTCTATAAAATGATAATGGTGAGCAGTTTGTAATACTTAATTTTAATCATTTTAAGCATTATGTATAGAGTTTATTTCTCTTTAGCCATCACCCAGGCTCCTTTATCCTTCTTCCCTGTCTCCTTAA